GGCTTCTTCAACTTGGCTTTCTTCTTAGAAGACTTTGACTTTGCTTTGCCAGATTTCGACGAGCTAGCTTGGCCAGGTTGCTGTTTAGAGGTGGATACTTATGGCAGAGGCAACCACTTTAGATTCAGTACCGGCTCAGTAGGGGACTTCCACTTGATACCCGGCACTCCTTCTAGCTGTTTCAACATTTTAGTTGTCTTCTTGGAGACCGCGGTCTCCCATTGATCATCTTGAATAGGTCCTTGCGTTTTTTCTTTAAGCGGGAATACGGAAGAGGACGTGACTACCCGGGTGGATTCCTTTCTGGGACGAACTAACACATTATCTGATAATGTCAATTCTCCCATTTTATATTGCTTTTCCAGCCAATCTTTGAAGACATAACAATCTTCAATCGGATGGCTAACTACCCGATGATACGGGCAATAGTTCGGGTCGCCACTGTGTTTAGACTCTTCAGGTCTTTTGCATTCCGGCAATTCTAGACCAGCTTTGAGTGCTTGTCGGAATAGCTTGGCGACACTCTCCCTCTTAAATGAATATTCTCTATTCATTTTCTCCTTGAGGGAGGGGAACGTTCTATCACCAGTTCCTGCAGTCTTCCTCTGGCGCTCTCCTCCACCAGGAAAGGCTCGAGGTTTATCATTTCCTCCAAGAACCAGCTTTGGTTGAGGGTTTGGATTGTAAGCCTGCTTTGGCTTTTCTTCATATTGCATAGACTGCTTTCCTTTGTCTACATTATATACTACCCGTTTACCTTTATCAGGTCTGGAAGGGAATGCAGAGTAGACCTCATTCTTTCTGGCGTCAGGCGCCTTAGCCTTTTTAGGTTTATCAGGGAAGCTTTCAGACTTTGATAAGTTTAACTTCTCAAATTTAGCCACCCTATCCAATAGATCTTGGAAGGTGGTAATAGAAGCCATGCATAAGAAGGGTTGCATTTTATCATCAATGTTTCCCATCAACAGTTGAACTGCATGTTCTTCCTCTAGCTGCTGCTCGCACTTCATACTGAGATTGCGCCAGCGTGTTATATACCTCGTCACTGATTCATCTTTCCTCCTTTTATCAAGGGCAAGATCAGCAATGGTGGTCTTCTCTGTTGCACTGGCGAATCTTTTTACGAACAAGGTCTCCAACTTCGCGAAGGTCTTCTGTGAATCATTCGGCAGTTCGGCATACCATTCGAAAGCAGTTCCACTCAAGCTGCTCACGAATTGCCTGAATAGCAGAGCATTATTACCTCCTGTATTTCCACAGGTTGCTTTGAACTGCGCAAGGTGCTATCTGGGATTTTTGTTGCCATCAAAGATATTGAACTTGGGCATAGAATATCCCTTTGGGTATGACACTTGATCGTACTCTGCTGGGTACGGGCGACCTTTTCCTACCAACTTCTCTGCCTGTTCAGCAGCTATAATGGCCTTAATCTTTTTGCTGATTAAGCCTTCCAACTGCGATGCAGTTACAGGTTCAGAGGTATTCGCCACATTTTGGGGAGTGCGCTGGCGGGTTGGGTCATCATTTTTATCGCCACCTTCAAGTACACCTTTCACTCCTGAGGCTTGAGGCGCTTGAGGGTTTTGAGAATTGGCGGCTTGGTTAACGGGCTGAACCGGTGCAGGGCCCACAGAAGTGGTCTTCTGCATCATTTCCATCATGGCCGTCATTTGAGTCATCATCTCAGTCATTTTATCATTTAACTGAGAGATTTCTCTGTCTTTTCTTCGCATTTGTCGCCTCATTTGATTTCTCATTTCAGCGAGTGTAATATCTTCGCCAGCAAAAGGGTTTTCTCTGACCTCTTCTTCTTCATCTCCTTCTTCTGAGGAGCGAGCACTTCGGGTGGCAATGGATCTAGCCCTGTGGCGACGTCGATAAGTACGTACGTGTGGCTGTGATTGTTGGTCTTCTTCATCATCATCACCTTCTTCCTCTTCAACATCGACGTGTCTGACCATACGAACCACCTCGATTTTCATAGTATCATCAACGTCATAGTCTTCTTCATCTTTTTGCATCTGAATTTCTAAGCGACGGCGCCACTGAATTTCAGGTTCTTGATTTGCGATGACTATTTCTTCAACCCGTGGACTACGATCAAAATGAAGATCCTCTTTGGTTGAAGTAGGAGAATGACGGGATCTCTTGGAAGACTCTCCAGGATGTCGACTGTCATTATAATTGTCGTCATTATGGGCCTTCTTTTGGACCCATTTCTGACGAGTTCTGTTGGCAGGGGCGGATCTCCGGGAGACTGCTCCGGATGTCATGCCTGATCTATCTTTTTCTTCAAAGATCTTTTCCTTTCGAGGCTTCGGCCTCCAAACTGGTTTGCCCTTCCACCGGGACCTTTCGGCAGTGGATCCCCGAACATTTGGTTCAGGTGTCACGCCCCAATGCTCACCGTGTGGAACTTGTTGTCGGTAATCCCTTCTTTCAACTATCACAGCAGATGATAGTCTATCTCTTGGAGGAGTTCTTCGAGCCTCAACAATCAGTGGCCTCTGGAACTTCTTTTTCATTAAGCCCTTCTCCTTAACTGTCTTCAGTACACGGTGTACCCGGGCAGACAGACGTTCGGGCTCTCTTATCTTCTGAGGGGCTGGAACTTCAAGCTGACGCTCCCAAAAAGATTTCTTGAGCTCACCAGAAGAGCTATTTCTCTTTACCCACCTCAGGTTGGAGAACTTATTTCGAGTGGGAATATTGATCTCTGGTTCTGGTGCTGACAGATTGGAGGGATGAACTGGTACTGTCAGCTGCTGAGCACGTAGCTCTGCATTTCGCTTCCTCCTCTGCCTTCTGTTGAGCCTTCCTCCAGATGAGGAAGCTTCAGCATCATGCCTCCCAGGTGCAACAGGCTCTCTGGGCAGGGCGGTGGTGTTTGCAGTCACCACGGAAACCTTCCTTCCATGAACAACCCTCTTTGCAGTAAGGGTCTCAGGTTGGGATAGTCTTTCGAATACAGAAGTTCTTCCTTGAGTAGCACCTCTGGCAGCAGTCCTTTTAGAGTGGGATCTTCCAGAAAGCTTTTCAGAATTTATGTCGTATACAGGGACGGCTACATCTCTTGCAGTAGCTGCTGAGAATTCGAGTCCACCAAAGTGAATAGTGGCTCCAGTGTTTCCAGTCTCAATTGCAGCATTAGCCAGTTGAATCCTGGCTCCTCGTCCCAGTTGGACGGTCATCGGCGTGTCCTGCATTTCCATTATACACAAATGAAAGGCAGGGATTAGTAATTAGAATTAATACATCACCCCATACTTTCATAAAACATGAATAACGCAGAACGAATGATAGCAGGAAAATTAGCATGGAATTTAAAACCCTGCTAAACAAATTTCCATTGATCTTATTTAAAAGATTCATTTTCGGGACCTTTCAGTGATGGATCTTTGGACATAAGAACCAAATGTCACATCCTGATGTTCACCATATAGAGCATAGTATTTTGGATGCTACTATAACATTTATATGACTAGCAAAAGATGAAAAGAGAAACCATTCCCCAGCGGAGTCGCCAGAAATCTGTGGGCTTCGAAAATTCGGCCCCGGCCTCCCCGCCGCGCGATTTCTTATCTTGTTTTGTGCGAGGGAGTTTTAACGAATTAAGTTCCGGGGTAAATT